AGCTGTCAGAGAATGTAGCGTGGATGGGGGAGGAGAGCTGTCAGAGAATGTAGCGTGGATGGGGGAGGAGAGCTGTCAGAGAATGTAGCGTGGATGGGGGAGGAGAGCTGTCAGAGAATGTAGCGTGGATGGGGGAGGAGAGCTGTCAGAGAATGTAGCGTGGATGGGGGAGGAGAGCTGTCAGAGAATGTAGCGTGGATGGGGGAGGAGAGCTGTCAGAGAATGTAGCGTGGATGGGGGAGGAGAGCTGTCAGAGAATGTAGCGTGGATGGGGGAGGAGAGCTGTCAGAGAATGTAGCGTGGATGGGGGAGGAGAGCTGTCAGAGAATGTAGCGTGGATGGGGGAGGAGAGCTGTCAGAGAATGTAGCGTGGATGGGGGAGGAGAGCTGTCAGAGAATGTAGCGTGGATGGGGGAGGAGAGCTGTCAGAGAATGTAGCGTGGATGGGGGAGGAGAGCTGTCAGAGAATGTAGCGTGGATGGGGGAGGAGAGCTGTCAGAGAATGTAGCGTGGATGGGGGAGGAGAGCTGTCAGAGAATGTAGCGTGGATGGGGGAGGAGAGCTGTCAGAGAATGTAGCGTGGATGGGGGAGGAGAGCTGTCAGAGAATGTAGCGTGGATGGGGGAGGAGAGCTGTCAGAGAATGTAGCGTGGATGGGGGAGGAGAGCTGTCAGAGAATGTAGCGTGGATGGGGGAGGAGAGCTGTCAGAGAATGTAGCGTGGATGGGGGAGGAGAGCTGTCAGAGAATGTAGCGTGGATGGGGGAGGAGAGCTGTCAGAGAATGTAGCGTGGATGGGGGAGGAGAGCTGTCAGAGAATGTAGCGTGGATGGGGGAGGAGAGCTGTCAGAGAATGTAGCGTGGATGGGGGAGGAGAGCTGTCAGAGAATGTAGCGTGGATGGGGGAGGAGAGCTGTCAGAGAATGTAGCGTGGATGGGGGAGGAGAGCTGTCAGAGAATGTAGCGTGGATGGGGGAGGAGAGCTGTCAGAGAATGTAGCGTGGATGGGGGAGGAGAGCTGTCAGAGAATGTAGCGTGGATGGGGGAGGAGAGCTGTCAGAGAATGTAGCGTGGATGGGGGAGGAGAGCTGTCAGAGAATGTAGCGTGGATGGGGGAGGAGAGCTGTCAGAGAATGTAGCGTGGATGGGGGAGGAGAGCTGTCAGAGAATGTAGCGTGGATGGGGGAGGAGAGCTGTCAGAGAATGTAGCGTGGATGGGGGAGGAGAGCTGTCAGAGAATGTAGCGTGGATGGGGGAGGAGAGCTGTCAGAGAATGTAGCGTGGATGGGGGAGGAGAGCTGTCAGAGAATGTAGCGTGGATGGGGGAGGAGAGCTGTCAGAGAATGTAGCGTGGATGGGGGAGGAGAGCTGTCAGAGAATGTAGCGTGGATGGGGGAGGAGAGCTGTCAGAGAATGTAGCGTGGATGGGGGAGGAGAGCTGTCAGAGAATGTAGCGTGGATGGGGGAGGAGAGCTGTCAGAGAATGTAGCGTGGATGGGGGAGGAGAGCTGTCAGAGAATGTAGCGTGGATGGGGGAGGAGAGCTGTCAGAGAATGTAGCGTGGATGGGGGAGGAGAGCTGTCAGAGAATGTAGCGTGGATGGGGGAGGAGAGCTGTCAGAGAATGTAGGGTGGATGGTGGGGGAGAGCTGTCAGAGAATGTAGTGTATGTGACTAGAATCCTCTCAGAATGGGCCAGGGTAGGGATGGGTCGAAGGACCAGTGCTTCAGAAGGGTTCTTGTGTAAGGTGATATTATGGATAGAGCGTATGCTTACTTAGCCACAGGATGTCCACCCAATCTGTAGCAAGGTGCCCAAATCAGAGCATGCCCGAAAACAGTTTGGTGAGTAGGAAGGGATACATTTTGTAATGACGGGCGGAAGTATAATATCAACGGAAAAGTACTTTGTAAGAGTTCTCCACCAACACAATCCTAGAGGAGCGTGCCACAGATGACCAAACATCCTGCCAATCCTCAGGGGGTAACCCAACTCTTCATGCCACCTACTCTGTTACGTCATCACTGAGGATACAGAAGGGGAGGTTATGGAGGATACAGAAGGGAATAAGACCAGGAGCATAGGGAGTATGGCGGCAGCAACGCTTCTAAGGAGTAGTAGAGCGCAGAGAAGGATGACCTTTTGATAGGGAGCGGATGTAATGTTGTAGTCGGAGGTGTCTATAGTGCTCGCGGAAGGGTATATTATGGGAGGCCCGAAAATTGCTGAAAGGATCTGTCCCCCGTGAGAGAAAATCAAGACTGGACATCTGTAAATCTGTGATTGGACCACCAAGAGAATTGGGAGGGATCGGTGTCCCCAGATAGAAATAGAGGGTAAATGAGAAGAGGTCAACTTTCCTGAATGTTTAATACTATCCGGAACCTTGAGGGAGTGGCCGAGAATTGGCTTGAGGTTGGAGGAGCAACTGGATGGTGGCAACCAGATAAGAAAGTGGGATTCGGTGACTATGGATAAGATCCAAAGACGGCCATTGGGGAAGCTCAAGTGAGGAATGAAGAAGAGCTAAGGAAGCCATGTTGGCTGCCAGGTAGAACAAGAACTCCGAGACCTCCCTTATTATGATACAGGATTTATATAGCGCCAACAGTGTGCGCAGCGCTTTACAATATAAGGAAGACATTACAATCACAATACAATTCAAGAGAAGATGGTAAGGAGGGCCCTGCCCCTGAGGGCTTACGATCTAAAAGAGGAGGGGCCAGTGATACATGAGGAGGTAGCTGTATGGGGATGAAGTATTTGAGAATGTGATGGTTCAGTGGTTAGGTGGAGGTGGGATCGGCTTCCCTGAAGAGATGAGTCTTAAGGGATCGCTTAAAGGCAGTCAGAGTGGGAGATAGACAGACAGGTTGGGGTAAAGAGTTCCAATGAATGGGGGGAGACTCTAGAGAAGTCCTGGAGGTGAGCATGGGAGGGGTTGACAAGGGAGCTAGAGAGCTCAGTTTTTGAAAGATTGAGTTTTAAGAAGTGTTGTGACATCCAGACGGATATGTCAGATAGTAGATTAGTGACAAAGGATTTCGAGCCATCGAGAACTCGTTGGTTACGTCTTGGGTTTGAGTTGCCCCAGATGAAAGGTAATATGTTGTGCCGGAGGATTCGGAGCACATGACTCGGGAGCGGGAGGACACGAAATTCATATAGATGCTTAGTTACATGGCATCCTTCCTATTCAAGAAGTGTGATGGTGACCCCACCATGTAAGAAGTCCGATTTCTTATTGATGATCGTAATAGTAATGTAAGTTCCCGATATACATCACATTATAATATTATGATGTCATAGTTCTCTTCTCCGTTTTCCCTTCTTCACTTTCACGTTCATGAATATTAAACCATCAATATCTTTTTTTATGGTGAGGATTATAACGGAGATATCATTTGTGTGTAGTCATGGAGGTAACATCGGAGGAATGAGCACGGGGCAACGGGTATAAAATGAGGAAACACGATGTGGACTAAAGTAGTCATCTTTAACTCAAGGTGCCGAACTCCTTTATTGTGATGACAGGAAGTGATGTCTGATGCTAACAGGAAGTGATGTCAAGTATAAACAGGAAGTTCCAGGGGAGAGGTGCAGTAGGAGGAAGTAGAGAGGAGACATTGCTGGAACTGGCAGCAGAGGAGGTAAGAAGATATTATTTGATATTTACACACAGTAACCCATGTCATGTCCGTCCTCCATATGCACCATGACATCTTCGCTCTCCGTCAGAATCTGCCTCCCATATATAAGGATACATCCTAAATGTAGAGCCATTTATCCAACTGTCCATCCAGAGCCGCCATTTATAGACCAGATACATCCTAAATATAGAGCCATTTATCCAACTGTCCATCCAGAGCCGCCATTTATAGACCGGATACATCCTAAATATAGAGCCATTTATCCAACTGTCCAGATCATCCTCAGTTTATTATCCGTCTACAGAGAGAAGCGTTCTCTATGGATCACATGACCACATCAACGAGGATGGGAAAAGGTGAATGTCGAGTGCCTGCGAGGATATTGGACCTCACCCTGGAGATCATCTACCTGCTGACCGGAGAGGTGAGGAGGATTCTCGGGACGTAATTATAACACATCACTGCCAACCTCTAACGGGACAGGAGGATTCTGGGAAGTCTGAGGTGATATTTGTTACTCTTTCTCTTTACACAGGAACATAATATAGTCAGGAAAATATCTGGTGAGCCATTTACACCCAGCAGATGTCTTCACAGGACGTCACCCATCACAAAGCCTCCATCTCACTGCCTGACCACAGAGGAAAAATGTGCCAAGAAGATTCTAGAAGTCACCCAGAAGATCATCGAGCTGCTGACAGGAGAGGTGAGCGGTGCCGGGAATTCTGGGACATGGTCCAGGAACAGACTAGGAGTGTGTCTGGGTGGTGACTGTATCATTGTGTGTGTCAGGTTCCTATAAGGTGTCAGGATGTCTCTGTCTATTTCTCCATGGAGGAGTGGGAGTATCTAGAAGGACACCGGGATCTCTACAAGGACGTCGTGATGGAGAGTGAGCCGCCCCTCACATCACCGGGTAAGAGGAGAGAGCAGTACGGAGGGTCCACCTAGATCCCCCATCATCTGATACACACATAACCCCTAGATCTCCCGTCATCTTATACACACATAGAAACAATGTATTCAGTCAGTGTGTGTGTTTCCTACAGATGGATCCAGTAAGAGGAACCCCCCAGAGAGATGTCCCCGTCCTCTGTATTCCCGGGATTCCACCCAGGAAGATCTCACCGTCCCTCACCATGATCAGGTAGATGGGACTCAGCATGTAGACCTAACAATGTATTCTAAGCTGTGAGAGGACTTTTTTTTATTTAATCTCTTCTTCTTATAAATTTATTTTATCATCTTTGGGGTTTAGGATGAAGAACTGAAAGACATCAAAGTTGAGGTGAAAGAGGAAGAAGAAGAGACATTGGTGGGAGGAGCTCAGCAGTCTATGGAGGAGTGGGAGATGATGATGAAGAAGAGTAACCAGGAGGAATATTCTCTACATATGGACACAAGTAAGTCATAAACACTGATCTGCATAGAGAAGCTTAGGGACCCCGTGATGTTTTTGCTCAGTCCCAGATAAGAATTATATTAGCATGTGTGTGTTTCCTACAGATGGATCCAGTAAGAGGAACCCCCCAGAGAGATGTCCCCGTCCTCTGTATTCCCGGGATTCCACACAGGAAGATCACAGCTATGCACATCAGGTAGATGTAACTGGGCATGTAGACCTAAAAATCTATACCAAGCTATGAGAGGAAATCTTCTATGTGATCACTTGTTCCTTTTTATAAATGTATTTTATCATCTTTGGGGTTTAGGGTGAAGAACTGAAAGACATCAGGCAAGGACTTCTCAGACACCAGAGAGCCCACACAGGACAATATCGTTTTTCCTGTTCAGAATGCGGAAAATGTTTCGATGATAGAACAAAGCTCCTTAGACACCACAGAATGCACACAGGCGAACGTCCTTTTTCCTGCTCAGAGTGTGGGAAACGTTTTGCTCAGAAAGAAAACCTTGTTATACACCAGAGAATTCACACAGGTGAACGTCCTTTTTCCTGTTCAGAGTGTGGAAAACGTTTCATTGAGAAAAGGATACTTATTAGACACCAGAAACTCCACACAGGTGAGCGTCCTTTTTCCTGCTCAGAGTGTGGTAAACGTTACACAGAAAACGGACGGCTTCTAAGACACCAAAGAATTCACACAGCTGAATTTCTGGTTTCCTGTTCAGAGTGTGGGAAAAGTTTCATTGACAAAGGAAGACTGCTTAAACATCAGAGAATTCACACAGAAGTGCGTCCTTTTACATGTTTAGAGTGTGGAAAGGGTTTTGCTCTGCAGATGGACCTTTTTCAACATCAAAAAATTCACACAGGTGAACAACCTTTTTCCTGTTCAGAGTGCGGGAAACGTTTCCGTGAGAAAGCACAACTTTGTAAACACCAGAGAATTCACACAGGTGAACGTCCTTTTTCCTGTTTAGAGTGTGGGAAAAGTTACATTGACAAAGGAAAACTTCGTACACACCAGAGAATTCACACCGGTGAGCACTGTTTTTTCTGCTCAGAGTGTGGAAAACGTTTCACCCAGAAGAGGGACTTTATTATGCACCAAAGAAGTCACACAGGTGAACGTCCTTTTTCTTGTTCAGAGTGTGAGAAAAGTTTTACTGATAAAAGAACACTAAATAGACACCAGAGAATTCACACAGATGAGCGTCCTTTTTCTTGTTCAGATTGTGGGAAGTCTTTCACTGGCAAAGGAAAACTTCTTAGTCATCAGAAAATCCACTCAAGTAAGTATTCTTTTTCCTGTTCAGAGTGTGGGAAATGTTACGCTGAGAAGGCAAAGCTTCTTAGACATCAGAGAGTACACACAGGTGAGAACTGTTTTGTCTGTCCAGAGTGTGGAAAACGCTTCACCGAGAATGGGGAGTTTATTATACACCAAAGAATTCATACAGGTGAACGTCCTTTTTCTTGTTCAGAGTGTGGCAAAACTTTCACTGATAAAAGAGTACTTAATAGACACCAGAAACTTCACTCTGCTGAATGACCGGTTTCCTGTTCGGAAGGCGGGAAAAGTCTTTGTGACAAAGGAAGACTGCATAGACACGAGAAGTCACACAATTGAGCGTCCTTTTTAGTGTTTAGAGTGTAGGAAAAGTTTTGCTCACAAGACTGACCTTTCTATATACTTCAAAGAATTCTCACACGTGAACAAGGCGTTCACGTGTTCAGAGTGTGGTAAAAGTTAAATTGAGAAAGGAAATCTTCTTAGACAACAGAGAATTCACCACACCGAGCGTCCTTTTTCTTCTGTTAAATGTGGCAACTGTTTTACTCAGCAAGATGATCTTTTTATACTCCAGACAACTCACACAAGTGAGCGTCCATTTTCCTGTTCAGAGTGCAGAACATGTTTTACTCACAAACAGAAGTCAAACAGCTGAACGTCCTTTCTCATGTTTAATGTGCGAGAAATTTTTCACCCCAAAATGAAACCATCACACCCCAGTTTATGCAGCAGTTTGGGCTTCCAAATTCCTGGGATGGTGGGGGGAGAGATGTCAGAGAATGTAGTGTGGATGGTGGAGGAGAGCTGTCAGAGAATGTAGTGTAGATGGTGGAGGAGAGATGTCAGAGAATGTAGTGTGGATGGTGGGGGAGAGCTGTCAGAGAATGTAGTGTAGATGGTGGAGGAGAGATGTCAGAGAATGTAGTGTGGATGGTAGGGGAGAGCTGTCAGAGAATGTAGTGTGGATGGTGGGAGGAGAGCTGTCAGAGAATGTAGTGTGGATGGTGGGGGGAGAGCTGTCAGAGAATGTAGTGTGGATGGTGGAGGAGAGCTGTCGGAGAATGTAGTGAGGAGAGCGGTCGGAGAATGTAGTGTGGATGGTGGGGGGAGATCTGTCAGAGAATGTAGTGTGGATGGTGGGAGGAGAGCTGTCGGAGAATGTAGTGTGGATGATTTTTCACATTATCTTCAGTTTTTTGCCACTTTTCTGAGTTTCATTTATTTATAAATAATAAAACACTATTAAATATTTATTTATTTTCCGTTTGGTTGGATTTTCACTATTGTATCACACTCATAATAAAGAAGACCTATTTTGATGTATAACACTGACCCACACACATGGCTGGAATATTAGACCCGTTCCCGGGTATATCTGACCGGCTGTTACCAAAATTGCCGCCAATTTTTCCCTATCAGCTATAGTTTGTGAGATACAGCCTGAATGCCATATACTGCTCTTCACTCCGGTCGCCCGTCAAATATCGGGATATTTTAATGTGACGGGTTTTTTTAACCTCCTTGTGGCAAAAGAAAAGTGTAATACACTAAATCTACTTATTTCAAACCAAAAAAAAAAGGTTTATGATCCAAACATTCCAATCAGTTGACACAGAAGAAGCTCCTTTCGACTTCCGAATGCGGGATCTGCCAAGAGAATCCAGCATAGGGTTCCAACGGTAACCTGCCATCATGTGCGCATCCCATCCTCCTTGGTATCTGCCTTCCATTGTTTGTATGTCTCGGCGAACTCTTTCACCTTGCTCTTCGCTTAGGTCACCAAGGTTCTCGAAAATTATGGATTTCAACTCTCAGTTTACAGTCAAGCCCGTTGAAATGAAAGAGGATCTCCTCTACTAATTGAGTGTAGTTGTCGGCCTTCTTGTTGCCAAGGAGGTTTTTCACAAGAACAAATGAAGACCAGGCTCAAGATTGGACTTCATTCATTGGTTCTATGAAATGTCGGTCATTTATAAGCGATCTGATTTGTAGACCATAGAAAATTCCGGCTTTGGGTTTTCCATGGTAAGTCCAGGTCATTGATTTATTCATGGCACAAACCATCTTTATTCAAAGCCTTTGTAGATTGTTTCATCAAGCCTAGTGGTGGCGGGATGAGGCTATCCCGTGTTACCAAAGGTGCATTGATCACATTTGTTTCTCCAACCACCATATCCTCCCAAGGAGGCCAATCTTCTCTTACCCAATGCTCATGATTGGCTTTACTGTCCCAAAGCCGTTGAAAGCTAGGACACTTTGTTGACCAAGAAAAAAGTGAACCATTTTCAAGTCTACCTAATGCTCATGTGTAGCTATACTGTCCCAAAGCCATAGAAAGCTAGGACATTTTGTGTGGCCAAGAAGAAAATGGACCATCTTCAAGTCTACCTAATGCTCATGTTTGGCTCTACTGTCCCAAAGCCATAGAAACTAGGACACTTTGTTGACCAGGAAGATAATGAACCATCTTCAAGTCTACCCAATGATTATTTGTGTCTCTACTGCCCCAAAGCCATAGAAAGCTAGGACACTTTCTGTAGCCACTTGGTTCAATTTCTTCTTGGTCAACAATCTTCAAGTCTATCTCTCTACTGCCCCAAAGCCATAGAAAGCTAGGACACTTTCTGTAGCCACTTTGTTGACCAAGAAGAAATTGAACCATCTTCAAGTCTACCTAATGCTCATGTTTGGCTCTACTGCCCCAAAGCCATAGAAAGCTAGGCTACTGCCCCAAACAAGAAGATAATGAACCATCTTCAACATGAAATATAATGCTCATGTTTGGCTCTACTGTCCCAAAGCCATAGAAAGCGAGGACACTTTGTGTACCTTCTTTGTTGACCAAGAAGATATTGAACCATCTTCAAGTCTACCTAATGCTCATGTTTGGCTCTACTGCCCCAAAGCCATAGAAAGCTAGGACATTTTGTGTAGCCACTTTGTTGACCAAGAAGATAATGAACCATCTTCAAGTCTACCCAATGATTATTTGTGTCTCTACTGCCCCAAAGCCATAGAAAGCTAGGACACTTTGTGTAGCCACTTTTTTGACCAAGAAGAAATTGAACCATCTTCAAGTCTACACTTTCTGTAGCCACTCTGTTGACCAAGAAGATAATGAACCATCTTCAAGTCTACCCCAATCCTCCATTATTTTTTGAACACTAGAGAGATGGCCTTGTACTCTTCTTTCATGGTGGTGGAGTGACCGAGTGCAATGGAGACACATTTGTTGCCGTTGTTTACAAGAACCCATTTCAAACCACGTTTCGAACCGTCGATTAAAGGGCGCCACTCACTTGGCTTATACTTACCCTTTAGAATCCAATGTTTCCGATCTACAATAACAGTTAGAAGTCCGTACACACCCTCACTATATCTGCCGACTTGTACGCAAAAACACAAACTAGGGAACAGGAGATCAGTAAGATCTTTGCAAAAAATGTCTAAGAAAAGATATAAATTTGGCCAAATCTAAGAAACTAGAGCCGAGGAAGTCTACATAATGCAATTTTCTGAATCAGAGCCCGAAATAAACCCCAAAAATCCTGAAAAGCACGGAACCAAGAAAAATGATTTTTTTCTGATTGGCAGCAGACAGGAAGTGATGTAGAATGCTGACAGGAAGTGATGTCAAGTATAAATAGGAAGTTCCAGGTCAGAGGGGAAATCGGGAGGAAGTAGAGAAGAGACATTGTTGGAATTGGCAGCAGAGGAGGTAATGAGATGTAAATTTGTATTTACACCCAGTAACCCCCCGTAAGGTAAGATTTAATTCTTAATTTGATGCTTCTTATCTCAAGATGATAGAAGGTAAAACATGTTGAGGGCTACAGAACCATTTATCCGATTGTCCATCTAGAGCCGCCATTTATGGACCAGATACATCCTAAATATAGAGCCATTTATCCAACTGTCCATCCAGAGCCGCCATTTATAGAACTGATACATCCTAAATATAGAACCATTTATCCAACTGTCCATCCAGAGCCGCCATTTATAGACCAGATACATCCTAAATATAGAACCATTTATCCAACTGTCCATCCAGAGCCGCCATTTATAGACCGGATACATCCTAAATATAGAACCATTTATCCAACTGTCCATCCAGAGCTGCCATTTATAGACCGGATACATCCTAAATATAGAGCCATTTATCCAACTGTCCATCCAGAGCCGCCATTTATAGACCAGATACATCCTAAATATAGAGCCATTTATCCAACCGTCCATCCAGAGCCGCCGGTTTATAGTCCACATACAGTCAGTGAAATGAATGAGACTTCTAATAGAAAAAAAGAAGTCTGAGGCGTAAGAACTTTGGAGAATATTTTTCATCCCTGAACAATCCAGATCATTCTCAGTTAATTATCTGTCTACAGAGAGAAGCGTCGTGTAAAGATCACATGACCACATCAACGAGGATGGGAAAAGGTGAATGCCGAGTGCCTGAGAGGATATTGGACCTCACCCTGGAGATCATCTACCTGCTGACCGGAGAGGTGAGGAGGATTCTGGGAGGTCACATTAAATTAGACATATCTGTATTTAAAACACATCACTGCTAACCTCTAACGGGAGAGGAGGATTCTGGGAAATCTGAGGTGATAATTGTTATTTATCTTTTTACACAGGAACATAACGTAGTCAAGAAAATATCTGGTGAGCCATTAACACCCAGCAGATGTCTTCACAGGACATCACCCATCACCGAGCCTCCACCTCACCGCCTGACCACAGAGGTAAAATGTGTCAAAAATATACTAGAAGTCACCGAGAAGATCATCGAGCTGCTGACAGGAGAGGTGAGCGGTGCCGGGAATTCTGGGACATGATCCAGGAACAGACAAGGGGTGTGTCTGGGTGGTGACTGTATCATTGTGTGTGTCAGGTTCCTATAAGGTGTCAGGATGTCTCTGTCTATTTCTCCATGGAGGAGTGGGAGTATCTAGAAGAACACCGGGATCTCTACAAGGACGTGGTGATGGAGAATGCCCCGCCCCTCACATCACCGGGTAAGAGGAGAGAGCAGTACGGAGGGTCCACCTAGATCCCCCATCATCTGATACACACATAGAAACAATGTATTCAGTCAGTGTGTGTGTTTCCTACAGATGGATCCAGTAAGAGGAACCCACCAGAGAGATGTCCCCGTCCTCTGTATTCCCAGAATTCCACCCAGGAACATCACACCGCCCCTCACCATGATCAGGTAGATGGAACTCAGCATGTGGACCTAAAATGTGTTCTAAGCTATGAGAGGACATTGTTCTATGTGTTAATTTTTATAAATGTGTTCTATCATTTTTGGTGTTTTAGGGTGAAGAACTGAAACACATCAAAGTTGAGATTAAAGAAGAAGAAGAAGAGACGTTGGTGAGTGGAGCTCAGCAGTCTATGGAGGAGGGGGAGATGATGATAAGTAACCAGGAGGAATCTTCTCTACATATCGACAAATGTAAGTAGTAAACACTAAATTCAAAAACATGTCACATTTTCTTTTTCGTTCTATGAGTATAAAGTAACATTCCGAACAAATGAGGAGGAGATACTGTACACCATATGAAGGTCCATCTCCATTCCTCAATATAACGTCATGTGCCCTACAAAATGTCCATTCCTCAATATATTATGATTACATCCAATCCCGTGTCGGAGATCTGAGATCTTGTCGTGTTCCTCACCAGCATATATGACTCCTATATACAGACATGAAGACTTCTGATCACATTGATTGACATGTTGCTCTCCAACAGATGGACGCTGTGTGCGGAATATGAACACCTCAGAGGGAGATCTTATTCCATCTCCAGATTCTACGGAAGATAACAGATCCGCTCAATATTCTCCGAGAACAAATTCCTCGAGTCACAATCTACATCACAGACATTACTATTTGGGAAGATCGATGGATCCCTCCAATCCCGAGGAACCTTCTGATCATTCGCATCACATGACTTCAGATATCCATCTAAAACCTCACAATGTGGAGAGATCAACAGATCCATCTACTGCCAAGGAATCTTCTGTAAGCCACGAAGGAGTTCAACATGTAGACCATTTATTGTCGTGTTCAGTGTGCGGGAAAACCTTCACTAAAAACAGAGCATTTCTTAGACACCAGAGAGCCCACACAGAACATCGTTTTTCCTGTTCAGAGTGTGGGAAAAGTTTCATTGATAAAGCAAAACTTCTTAGGCACTCTAGAATGCACACAGGTGAGCGCCCTTTTTCCTGTTTAGAGTGTGGGAAACGTTTTGCTCAGAAAGAAAACCTTGTTATACACCAAAGAAATCACACAGGTGAACGTCCTTTTTCCTGTTCAGAGTGTGGGAAACGTTTCATTGAGAGAAGGATACTTCTTAGACACCAGAAGCTCCACACAGGTGAACGTCCTTTTGCCTGTTCCGAGTGTGGGAAAAATTACACAGAAAAAGGAAGGCTTCTTAGACACCAGAAAGTTCACACAGGTGATCCCTCTTTGGTCTGTTTAGAGTGAGGAAAATGTGTTGCTTATGAAGGGGACCTCACTATACAAAGAATTCACACAGGTAAGCGTCCTTTTTTCCTGTTCAGAGTGTGGGAAATGTTTCTTCGGAAAAAAGAAATCTTAGACAGCAGAGAATCCACACGGGTCAGCGTGTTTATACATGCTCAGTGAGCAGGAAATGTTTCATCGAGAAAGGAAAACTTCTTAGAGAAGCAACTCCGTTGAATGGCCTTTATCCTGTTCAGAGTGCGGCAAATGTTTCGCTCAGAAAGGGGACTTTACTATGCATTAGAGAATTGACACACATAAGCGCTCTTTTACCTCTTCATAGTATGGGAAATGTTTCCATGAGAAAGTTACACTTCTTGGACATCTGAAATTTCACACAGATTAATGTCCTTGTTCATGTTGGGGAATGTGGGAAAGGTTTAACTGACAAAGGAAACCATAGACCACAGGGAATTCACACAGATGAGCAAGCTTTTTCTCTCTTTTGAGTGTGGGAAATGTTTCTGCAAGCAAGCAAAACTTATACACCAAAAATGTCACACAAACACGCACCCCTTCTAATGTTCAAGACCTTCTTGGACACTCGATTACTTCTCAGCATACAGTTGGTCTAGCATCCAATCCCTTGTTCAGCATGCAAGAAATGTTTTTCTCTGAAACGTCCACTACTTAAAAATAAAAGATTTACTGTGGATTAATATCTTTTTCCTGTTCAGAGTGTGGAAAATGTTTCTCTAGGAATAAAAATTCACACATAGAGAAAAGTAAGGTATTAAACTTAAATAAACCATTTTCTGTGGAATACTATCTTCTACTGTACACCATATGAAAGGTCCATCTCCATTCCTCAATATAATGTCATGTGACCAACACATGAGGAGGAGATACTGTACACCATATGAAAGGTCCATCTCCATTCCTCAATATAATGTCATGTGACCAACACATGAGGAGGAGATACTGTACACCATATGAAGGTCCATCTCCATTCCTCAATATAACGTCATGTCCCAACAAATGAGGAGGAGATACTGTACACCATATGAAGGTCCATCTCCATTCCTCAATATAACGTCATGTGACCAACAAATGAGGAGGAGATACTGTACACCATATGAAGGTCCATCTCCATTCCTCAATATAACGTCATGTGACCAACAAATAAGGAGGAGATACTGTACACCATATGAAGGTCCATCTCCATTCCTCAATATAACGTCATGTGACCAACAAATGAGGAGGAGATACTGTACACCATATGAAGGTCCATCTCCATTCCTCAATATAACGTCATGTGACCAACAAATGAGGAGGAGATACTGTACACCATATGAAGGTCCATCTCCATTCCTCAATATAACGTCATGTGACCAACAAATGAGGAGGAGATACTGTACACCATATGAAGGTCCATCTCCATTCCTCAATATAACGTCATGTGACCAACAAATGAGGAGGAGATACTGTACACCATATGAAGGTCCATCTCCATTCCTCAATATAACGTCATGTGACCAACAAATAAGGAGGAGATACTGTACACCATATGAAGGTCCATCTCCATTCCTCAATATAACGTCATGTGACCAACAAATGAGGAGGAGATACTGTACACCATATGAAGGTCCATCTCCATTCCTCAATATAACGTCATGTGACCAACAAATGAGGAGGAGATACTGTACACCATATGAAGGTCCATCTCCATTCCTCAATATAACGTCATGTGACCAACAAATGAGGAGGAGATACTGTACACCATATGAAGGTCCATCTCCATTCCTCAATATAACGTCATGTGACCAACAAATGAGGAGGAGATACTGTACACCATATGAAGGTCCATCTCCATTCCTCAATATAACGTCATGTGACCAACAAATAAGGAGGAGATACTGTACACCATATGAAGGTCCATCTCCATTCCTCAATATAACGTCATGTGACCAACAAATGAGGAGGAGATACTGTACACCATATGAAGGTCCATCTCCATTCCTCAATATAACGTCATGTGACCAACAAATGAGGAGGAGATACTGTACACCATATGAAGGTCCATCTCCATTCCTCAATATAACGTCATGTGACCAACAAATGAGGAGGAGATACTGTACACCATATGAAGGTCCATCTCCATTCCTCAATATAACGTCATGTGACCAACAAATGAGGAGGAGATACTGTACACCATATGAAGGTCCATCTCCATTCCTCAATATAACGTCATGTGACCAACAAATGAGGAGGAGATACTGTACACCATATGAAGGTCCATCTCCATTCCTCAATATAACGTCATGTGACCAACAAATGAGGAGGAGATACTGTACACCATATGAAGGTCCATCTCCATTCCTCAATATAACGTCATGTGACCAACAAATGAGGAGGAGATACTGTACACCATATGAAGGTCCATCTCCATTCCTCAATATAACGTCATGTGACCAACACATGAGGAGGAGATACTGTACACCATATGAAAGGTCAATCTCCATTCCTCAATATAATGTCATGTGACCAACACATGAGGAGGAGATACTGTACACCATATGAAAGGTCCATCTCCATTCCTCAATATAAAGTCATGTGACCAACAAATGAGGAGGAGATACTGTACACCATATGAAGGTCCATCTCCATTCCTCAATATAACGTCATGTCCCAACAAATGAGGAGGAGATACTGTACACCATATGAAGGTCCATCTCCATTCCTCAATATAACGTCATGTGACCAACAAATGAGGAGGAGATACTGTACACCATATGAAGGTCCATCTCCATTCCCCAATATAACGTCATGTGACCAACAAATGAGGAGGAGATACTGTACACCATATGAAGGTCCATCTCCATTCCTCAATATAACGTCATGTACACGAGGGGAGAGCGGTAAGATAGAACAGAGTGATGTACATTGAGTATATTGGGGGATCTGGTGAAATTATTTGTGGTTGTGGTGGCAATAAATCATATTGATCCTTAAAGGAACATGGCTGGTAATAACAATGTGGTAATACAAGGGCATTATGAGGGGCAACACAGTGGAACATGCGACCACAGAAGGGGAACCAAGGTGGGCAACAGCAGACAAGACAATACGAAGACAATTGTACAATAAATGATCAATGATAATCAGATGAGAGGTGTACACGCTTCCATTCTACGTCCATCCCGGCGGTGGATTCCTTTAGCAGTGACTCTTGCAAACCGCCGTTCAATCTGCGGCGAGAAATTGTCTAATATTACGATTTTGTGCCTTGATACTTTTTGTTCTTTTCTTTTTGTAGTTTCACAATATTTATGAATAATATTCCACTATTAATATCATCGTTTCCGTTATTGTTTGTTCTTCGTCGGATTTCATTGGTTGTATCAATTTCATACCACAAAGGAAGGAAAAAGTCCAATTTTTGACCATGATATGAACAGCAATTTAATAAAATGAAAGATATATCAATTCCGTATATCGTACACGGTATATAAATGATATTATAATATTACAATTCTCATATTAAACCCTCAATATCTTTATTTTTTGGTCTGGATTATATGCGTGTGTAGATGTCTCTTCTCCTTGAGGGCCAGAAATATGGCCAACAGTTCCCTGTCTCCGATCTGGTAATTGTACTCCACTGGATATAACTTTTTGGAATGGAACCCACGAGGGTGTAAGGCAGTGGTTCTCAACCTGTGGGTCGCGGCCTACAGTTGAAGGGGTCCCCAGATGCCTTGTGCTGCTCTAGGTAAGAGGCTCCTCAGCCTCCTCCTAGCGCAGCCTTGCCAGTTCTCCTAGATGGCGCTGCAGCAGCAGTGGCCAGAGAGGATCAGAGAGAGGGAGCAGGCAGGAGTGAGGGGAGGTGAGTGCTTGATCACCACAGAGCCCGCACTGGGCACCACAGAGCCCGCACAGGACGCCAACAGAGAGTCCCACTAGCCACCTGAGAGCCCGCAGAGCCTCCCGAGAGCCCACACAGATACTAGTATTGGTGCATCCCTACATTTTACGGTTGGGGGGTCACCACAACTTGGCAAATGTTACCAAGGGGTCCCGGCCCTAGAAAGGTTGAGAACCACTGGTGTAAGGGACCATCTGGAGTACGATGTTGAGACAGGAGGGCACCTACTCCTGTCTCAGACGTCATGGATGTGACATAATAGAAGAATGGTCCACGAGGCAACGAGCAAAATGATGAAACTGCTGTATTTCTATAGATACAAAGTGGGGGCTCGCTTTTTGTGAGACAGGAAGTGATAAGAGATGCCAACAGGAAGTAAATGTAAACTCAGGAAGTGATGTAAGGTGCAGACAGGAAGTAGACAGGAGACATCGGTGGAAGTGGCACCAGAGGAGGTAATACGATATTATTTTATATGTACATCCAGTAATTCCTCGTCCCACGTAAAATTTGGCGCAACCTGTTTAGCACATTCAACAATCCGATGGTCAGTTGCATTACAATTGATCGGATCAGGTTTGAACTAGCACTATAGGTTGCTGGAATGACCAGACATAGAACGAGACTGGGTCTACAACCATAATAGAAGTCACCTATTTCGAAGCCACGCAGGGTCCCTTCTTCTGGGCGACATATTATCGATTGGGTCTCCAACCACGTATCAGTGGGATCCTTGAAGGAGGACGTCTCTTCCACGGGAAAGGCCGTAGACTTGGTGGGATCTCGTAGGGTCCACCAGTGGAGAAGTGAACCATTTTGTTTGCCGATACAGAAAACGGCGAATGATTGGGAATAGAGAAGGATTATGATGGGACTTCTCCAACCGTTGTAGATGAAACAGTTGACAGAATTTTATATGAGTGTTTTTGAACTTGCCCTCAAGATCGTGGATGGTAATCTCAAAAGAGATCCTTGTAATACCCTTTTAAACTAATCAATTCCCGACCCTTCCGAGATGCTTTCAGACCTCGGGGTTGAGCTTGTCCTCAAGATCGTGGATCTTTGTGATCCTTCTAATTCCCTCTTAAACTAACTGATACATGACCTCCCAAGATGCTTTCAGACATTGGGGTTGAACTTGACCTCAAGATCGTGGATCTTTTTGATACCCTTTTAAACTAATCAATTCCCAACCCTTCCGATATGCTTTCAGACCTCAGGTTTGAGCTTGTCCTCAAGATCGTGGATGTTAATTTCAAAATAGATCCTTGTAATACCCTTTTAAACTCAGCAATTCCCGACCTCCCAAGATGCTTTCAGACCTCGGGTTTGCGATTCACCTCAAGATCGTGGATCTTTTGTGATCCTTGTATTACCTTTTTAAACTAACCATTACATGACCCCCCAAAATGGTTTCAGACCTCGGGTTTCTGTATAACCCTGGTGGATACAATTTCTGTAACAAGACCTTGGAAAAAAACCTTAGTATCCCTCTCTACAACTATAACCAAAATCTTCTCGATCATGGCCTACAAAAAACTAGCCAGCCTTGTAAAGCATGATAGCCAGGCAGTGTGTGAGAGGCTATAGAACCGTGAATATGTTTTCTATAACGTTAGATGGGGTCCAAACCAGGACTCTTGCAGAGGTGTCTCGGTAAGGTGGTGGACATCTGACCTTACTTAGATTTGGAGTATATGGTGGTCCTTCGTAAATTTGTTGGACATTTACAGAGCTGCACTTCATTGTTTTTCTTTTCTAGATGATCAATAGAGTTATTTGTTCCTGGACTGAGTTTGATTATTCACCCAAAAATTAACCGCTTGGTGAATGTATTGCCCAATACGCAAAGGCTACATACCATTGTAACTATCTATCAACTATCTCTCGCGCAGACAACAATAACTGATGACCCATTGACACCCAGGAATCCCACGAGGTGTCTTCCTCAAGCATCACCCATAACAGTTCTTCCACCTCACTGCCTAACGACAGAAGTAAACCAGGCCAAGAAGATTCTAGAGGTCACCAAGAAGATCATTGAGCTAGGGTAAGCAGTACGGGGAATTCTGGGACCTTATCTTGTTATACTTCTAGAAAATATTCTAGAAGTCACCAAGAAGATCATTGAGCTGCTGATGGGAGCGGTGCCGGGAATTCTGGGACATTATAACAGACAGGATGTGTCTGGATGGTGACTGTATCATTGTGTGTGTCAGGTTCCTATAAGGTGTCAGGATGTCTCTGTCTATTTCTCCATGGAGGAGTGGGAGTATCTAGAAGGACACCGGGATCTCGGGATCTCTACAAGGACGTCGAGATGGAGAATGAGCCGCCCCTCACATCACCGGGTAAGAGGAGAGAGCAGTACGGAGGGTCCACCTAGATCCCCCATCATCTGAGACACACATAGAAACAATGTATTCAGTCAGTGTGTGTGTTTCCTACAGATGGATCCAGTAAGAGGAACCCACCAGAGAGATGTCTCCGTCCTCTGTATTCCCGGGATTCCACACAGAAAGATCTCACCATCCCCCACCATGATCAGGTAGATAGATGGAACCCAAAGCTTCTCTAACCTGTATGAGAATTATACTTATCTCATAAGTCTCAGCCTACTGGTGGTCACATTTTAAAGATGTCTTCCTATCATTCTGTTGGTTTAGCTTGAAGAACAGATGTATATAAAAGTGGAAGCTCAAGAGCAAGAAGAGGAGACGTCTGTGATGGGTTATCAGCAGACTACAGAGGGGGTTGGGATCATGGTGACAATCAAACAGGAGGAACCTTCTTTAGATATCAGCACGGGTGAGTGATGAACACTAAATACAGAAACTATTCTGGTATATGGTCTAAGGATCTGTAGACCTTCAAGTTAGATGATCTCTACAAGGACGTGGTGATGGAGAGTGAGCCGCCCCTCACATCACCGGGTAAGAGGAGAGAGCAGTACGGAGGGTCCACCTAGATCCCCCATCATCTGATACACACATAGAAACAATGTATTCAGTCAGTGTGTGTGTTTCCTACAGATGGATCCAGTAAGAGGAACCCACCAGAGAGATGTCCCCGTCCTCTGTATTCCCGGGATTCCACACAGGAAGATCTCACCCTCCCTCACCATGATCAGGTAGGTGGGACTGAACTTGTAGATCTAAAAAACAATTCTAAGCCACGAGAGACTTATTTTTTATATCTCTTCTTCCTATAAATGTGTTCTATCATCTTTGGGGTTTAGGGTGAAGAACTGGAAGACATGAAAGTTGAGGTTAAAGAGGAAGAAGAAGAGACGTTGGTGAGTGGAGCTCAGCAGTCTATGGAGGAGGGGGAGATGATTGTGAAGAGTAAACAGGAGGAATCTTCTCTACATATGGACACAAGTAAGTCATAAACACTGATCTGCATAGAGAAGCTTAGGGACCCCGTGATGTTGTTGCTCAGTCCCAGATAAGATTTATATTATGTTGACGAGGGGGGAGGGGAGGAACCAGAGAAGGCAAAATATATATGACTCCTATATACAGACATGAAGACTTCTGATCACATTGATTGACATGTTGCTCTCCAACAGATGGACGCTGTGTGCGGAAAATGAACACCTCAGAGGGAGATCTTATTCCATCTCCAGATTCTACGGAAGATAACAGATCCGCTCAATATTCTCCGAGAACAAATTCCTCGAGTCACAATCTACATCACAGACATTACCATTTGGGAAGATCGATGGATCCTTCCAATCCCGAGGAACCTTCTGATCATTCGCATCACATGACTTCAGATATCCATCTAAAACCTCACAATGTGGAGAGATCAACAGATCCATCTACTGCCAAGGAATCTTCTTTAAACCACGAAGGAGTTCAAAAAGTAGACACTCCGTTAACATGCTCAGAGTGCGGGAAAAGTTTTTCTGTGAAAGCAAGTCTTCTTCGGCACCAGAAAATTCACAAGGGCGAGCGGCCTTATTCCTGCTCAGAGTGCGGGAAAAGCTTCTCTTGGAAAGAAAGTCTTCTTAAGCACCAGAGAATTCACACAGGCGAGCGGCCCTTTTCATGTTCAAAGTGCGGGAAATGTTTCTCTTGGAAAGAAAGTCTTCTCAAGCACCAGAAACTTCACACGGGCGAGCGTCCTTTTTCATGTTCACTGTGTGGGAAGTGTTTCTCTTGGAAAGAGAGCCTTCTTAAACACCAGAGAGTTCATGTAGGGGCACGTCCTTTTTCTTGTTCAGAGTGTGGGAAATGTTTCAGCGAGAAAGGAAGTCTTCATACACACCAGAGAATTCACACGGGTGAGCGTCCCTTTTCCTGCTCGGAGTGCGGGAAATGTTACATTCAGAAAAGTAACCTTCTTAAACACCAGAAAAGTCACACAAGCGGGTGTCCTTTTTCCTGTTCAGAATGCAAAAAATGTTTCTCTCAAAAAGGGAAGCTTGTGACACACCAGAAAACTCACAAGTGCGAGCGTCCCTATTCTTGTTCAGAGTGTGGGAAGTGTTTTACTGGAAAAAGAAGTCTTCTTATACACCATAGAATTCACACAGGTGAGCGTCCCTATGCTTGTTCAGAGTGTGGGAAAAGTTTTACCGGTAAAGAGAGTCTTCTGGCACACCACCGAAGTCACACGGGCGAGCGTCCCTATTCATGTTCAGAGTGTGGGAAACGTTTTTCTGGAAAAGGAAGTCTTCTTGCACACCAGAGAATTCACACAGGGGAACGTCCTTATGCATGTCCGGAGTGCGGGAAGGGTTTCGCTCAGAAAGGAAACTTTCTTGACCACCAGAGAATTCACACAGGTGAGCGTCCTTATTCGTGTTTAAAGTGCGGGAAATGTTTCTCCAGGAAAGGAGACCTTGTTAGACACCAGAGAACTCACATGAGGGAGCCTCTTGATTCATGCTAAGAGTGTATGAAGGAAAATGAACTAGATTTCAGAATTCACACAACCGCTGAAGATGTTAAATAAAACTATAAATAAGCATATCACAAAATACATGTTTGTCACCAATAATTATGTACCACATATCACAGATGCAACCATAAAAACATGTCCATATTATGCCGTATATGCGACCACTATTAAATCCTTAATGTCATGAATATAAAAACAAAACTGGCTAAATATAAAAAATCATAATTCCCAAACCTACATAATAAAAATAAATAAATAACTGGATACCTCTAATATGGTTTTTGAGTTCTTGTGCTTTTGTGGCTTTCCTCCGGGCACTCCTGTTTCTTCCCGCAAAAATAAGCTGGTAGGTTAACTGGCCCTGGGATGTCTGCGTGCGTGTATGTATGCATGTGAGAGAGGGACCTTAGATTGTAAGCTCTGTCAGGGCGGGGACTGATGTGAATGTGCAACTATGTAAACGCGTGCATTAGTCTTCTGCGTTATGTGAACACGTGTAATATACAATGACACACAAATGTAAATCAATCATTTAGTAGTTTACAATGAAGACAATCAACAACCATATTGAGATCTATTGGATATAATGTGTCAGGTAAATCGATCCATTTTGCCTTACTGCCATTTTATTCTCCTCCTCCTTCTTCCCTTTCTTCTCCTTTTCATTCTCATTCTCCTTTTTTTTACTTCTTCTCATTCTCCTCTTTCTACTCCTCCTCTTTCTACTCCTCCTTCTCCTCTTTCTACTCCTTCCCTCTTTTTCTACTCCTCCTTCCCCTTCTCCTCTTTCTACTCCTCCTCTTTCTACTCCTTCTCTTCTTTCTACTCCTCCTTCCCCTTCTCCTCTTTCTACTCCTTCTCCTCTTTCTACTCCTCCTTCCCCTTCTCCTCTTTCTACTCCTCCTCCTCTTCTTTCTACACCTCCTTCCCCTTCTCCTCTTTCTACTCCTCATTCTCCTCTTTCTACTCCTCCTTCTCCTCTTTCTACTCCTCTTTCCCCTTCTGCTCTTTCTACTCCTTCCCCTTTTTTCTACTCCTTCTCATTCACCTCTTTCTACTCCTTCTTCCCCTTCTCCTCTTTCTACTTCGCATTCTCCTTTTTCTACTCCTCTTTCCCTCTTTTTCTACTCCTCCTTCCCCTTCTCCTCTTTCTACTCCTTCCCCTCTTTTTCTACTCCTCCTTCCCCTTCTCCTCTTTCTACTCCTCATTCTCCTTTTTCTACTCCTTCTCCTCTTTCTACTCCTCTTTCTACTCATCCTTCTCATTCTCCTCTTTCTACTCCTTCCCCTTCTCCTCTTTCTACTCCTCCTTCCCCTTCTCCTCTTTCTACTCCTCCTCTTCTTTCTACACCTCCTTCCCCTTCTCTTTCTACTGTTTCTACTCCTCTTCCTCATTCTCCTCTTTCTTCCCCTTCTCCTCTTTCTACTCCTCATTCTCCTCTTTCTACTCCTCCTTCCCCTTCTCCCCTTTCTACTCCTCCTCTTCTTCTACACCTCCTTCTATTTCTACTACTCCTCATTCTACTCCTCCTTCTCCTCTTTCTACTCCTCCTTCCCCTTCTCCTCTTTCTACTCCTCCTTCCCCTTCTCCTCTTTCTACTCCTCCTTCTCCTCTTCCTACTTCTCATTCTCCTTTTTCTACTTCTCCTGCATTCTCCTTTTTCTACTTCTCATTCTCCTCTTTCTTCTTCCTCTTCTACTTCTTCCTTCCTCCTCCGTCCCTGTTTCAAATCCTGGCCCGGTCACTATCTGCATGGAGTTTGCATGTTCTCCCTGTGCTTGTCTGGGTTTCCGCCCACACTCCAAAGACATGCTGGAAGCTTAATTGGCCCTTGACTAAAATTGGCCCTCCATGTATGTATGTGAGATAGGGACTTTAGATTGCAAGCTCCTTGTGGGCGGGGACTGATGTGAATGTGTAAATTGTGGGCACGATATAAATCCATGTGATAAACAATAAGGTCTACCAGCGCACCTGGAAAGCACGTTTCACATGGTGGAGGGCAAGGAATTTATATCCCGGGAGGTACTTCATGGGATGAATTTTGTCATGTCTCCAGTCTGGTCTGGACCAACATTTGGCCTAGAGAACAATCAAGGGTCAAATCTCTGCCTTCTTCTTTTCCTTCTTCCCTTTCTTCTACTCCTCATTCTCCTATTACTACTTCTTCTCCTTTCTTCTTCTCCTACTTCTCATTCTCCTTCTTCTCATCTTCCTCTTTCTCCTTCTTCTCATCTTCCTCTTTCTTCTCATTGTCCTTCTCATCTTCCTCTTTCTTCTTCTCATTCTCCTTCTCATCTTCCTCTTTCTTCTCATTCTCCTTCTTCTCATCTTCCTCTTTCTTCTCATTCTCCTTCTTCTCATCTTCCTCTTTCTTCTCATTCTCCTTCTTCTCATCTTCCTCTTTCTTCTTCTCATTCTCCTTCTTCTCATCTTCCTCTTTCTTCTTCTCATTCTCCTTCTTCTCATCTTCCTCTTTCTTCTTCTCATTCTCCTTCTTCTCATCTTCCTCTTTCTTCTTCTCATTCTCCTTCTTCTCATCTTCCTCTTTCTTCTTCTCATTCTCCTTCTTCTCATTCTCCTCTTTCTTCTTCTTCTCATTCTCCTTCTTCTCATCTTCCTCTTTCTTCTTCTCATTCTCCTTCTTCTCATCTTCCTCTTTCTTCTTCTCATTCTCCTTCTTCTCATCTTCCTCTTTCTTCTTCTTCTCATTCTCCTTCTTCTCATCTTCCTCTTTCTTCTTCTCATTCTCCTTCTTCTCATCTTCCTCTTTCTTCTTCTCATTCTCCTTCTTCTCATCTTCCTCTTTCTTCTTCTCATTCTCCTTCTTCTCATCTTCCTCTTTCTTCTTCTTCTCATTCTCCTTCTTCTCATCTTCCTCTTTCTTCTTCTCATTCTCCTTCTTCTCATTCTCCTCTTTCTTCTTCTTCTACGCCTTCTCCATACAGTGAGCACTACGTGGGATCTCAGCCTGGTTCTCTCGGTTCTCTGGATACCATCCTTTGAAGATCCCTGGCATAGTCCTCTGTCTAATCTCAAGCACAAGGTAATGTAAAACCCGCCAAGGAGAGAGACAGTCTCACTCTCTCTGTGGCGGGCTTATTGTTGTTTGATGAACCTCGGTGG